TGTACTTATGTAAATACTGCGTTCAGACTCGTATGGCTATCGCACTTGAGTTAGGGCTGATTCTGCCCGCATTTTGTAAGGCGCCAGTCCATTAATGTGTCACCTACCACTGCGTACAGACCAGTAAATGTAAATAACAACCGCTAACCACTGGTGCGTTTGAATTTTGTGCAGTGCCCACTTACACGGGTTACTGCGGCTACCCTACCTCAATCATGCATAGTCACTCAATTAAGCCATACCTAAGTTTCCACAAAACCAAACCGCACATGAGCAAGCTGCATTACTAGGTTGACATCTATGGGTTTAGTGATGCTAATGAAAAGCATTGGGTGAATGTTTAACATGGTGGTATTAAACGATAGGATATTTTAACTAATTGTCATTAAGACTGACGAAGCGACTGCGAAACGTTAGCTCTTACGTCAAGCCAACGACATTGGAGATCTGTTTTAGGTAACCGTTCGCCGTGGTGGGTATCAGCTAAAAGTCGTTCAGAAAACCAACGACCTAGGCAGCGCCCGCGGAATCGAAGATGAGGTCAAAAATCGTATAGCAAAAGCTTGGGGTGCATTCAGTAACCTTCGGCACCTATTTACCTGGCGCGACACCACCCTTCCTAAAAGGTAGAGTTTACAATGCTGATGTACGTTTGATCCTACTATACAGTTGTGAAAACTGGCAGACTAAATCGGCAGACATGAATAGGCAAGCTACGCTCTACCACCGGTACCTTCGCAGTTTGGTTCATATGTGGTGGAAACATCGTGTGAGAAATGAGCGTGTTTGACGCTTTGCTAATGGCACAGGAAGAGGAAGTGCTCCACTCACAACGGTTATATCACCCACCAGGCTCCGATGGATGGGCCATGGGTTAGGCATGCCAGCACACCGGCTCCCGCGATGTTCGCTATTTGCGCGCCGCTGTCTAGATGGAAGAGGCCAAGCAATGACGATCAAGAAGAATGAAGGCTTTACTTCGAAGTTGGCCTCGGATAGAGCTTCCAGATACTCTGGTTAGGGCCCGAAACAGGATGAAGACGTTTGATTGGAAACACTTGGTAACACGAGGAGGAATCGACTTATCTAGCGATTTGGTTGTCAGGTTCTCTGTCTCTCCCTGTCCCGCTTAGCCACTCCGTCCAAACACGCTCACGTTACCTAGGTATAATATAACTACTTTTTGAGGTATAAAAGCCAGCTGGTAGCTCTCCGGAACGTTGCACATCCGTAACTGGTGGCCTAACTGGCGTGCCGCTATTGCAAGTTTATCTCCCATTCATTTGTACTACGACACAACAGCTGAGGTACATTCAACCTCCAGCTAACGTGTATTATCATGATGACGGTAATACCTCATCAAATTTACACCTGGGCACCTTCGAAACCAAACGGCTTATACTGAGTCACAGATTAGCCACCGACGCGTTTGATGAATTCGGCAAGAAGAGTTTTCCAGAATTTCTAACAATGACTAGTCTATTGTCAAAAGATAAGTTAATGGGGGAGGGCAGCTACTCGGAGGTGACACAAAATCAGGTATCAAACAGTGAGAGCTCAGTGGCTGCAATGGACGCACGACGCCTAAAACGTGAAATTTGGTTGCATAGTCAAATAGAGCACCACCCTGCAAACAAGCATTTCCACATCACCCATTAATAACACAGCAACACTTGGTTCATCAACAAGTAGCAAACATCAAAGCCGCCCTGCGAAACGTACCGCAAACATTGTTCATTACAGACAACGGTTCAACGACCTCAAGGGAAACCCGGCCATGTAAGAGAGTATAGATGCGTCAGCTAGCTCCGGAACAATAATTGCCTTCAGCATCCTCGACGGTATTTCGGAAAAATAAAAACTAGGTATATTGAAAATATAACGAAACTGCGATACACTGGCCTTTGATAATTGACCTCCATCTTAGTTGCGCAAATGCCCACGTCCAAGTAAACGGGTTCTGTTCAGTGTCAGAGATAAATAATCATTAAACCGACATTACAACCACATGTGAAACATGACACCGTATCCGAAGCTCCGCGTCACTCGATATAGCAACAAAAGCTGCCTATCCTAAAACGCTGACTTCCCGAATAAAGGAACATGTGTCAAAATGGGTTCAACGTGAAGTTGCTCAGATTGCCTACCCTCGTCAGATTCCATGTTCGCGCAGACCGCCGGCTTCCTCGATAGGCAAACACCTATTAGACTCGGGTCACCAATTAGAGCTGGGCTCAGCGTTTAAAGTTGTGTTACGTCACACTAATCCCCGCTTCCTTCGGTTTGCTGAGGCTGTCGCAATAAGCCGGATTAAGCCGGCGTTGTGTGTTCAGAAACAATTATTTGTCAGCCTAAAGCTGCCTTGGACGTAGGTGTGAACTTTCGTCATTCGTTTTGCACCTTAAGCTTGTCTGGTTGCACCCACTGTTAGCTATAACTATGCTTATCGGTTATTGTTAATGGTACTGAGGAGACAATACGAAATGCATGCATCTACCAGCCTTCGTCTTCTTTCCGTGCTTATCTTAAAATAGTCTCAATGTCAAGCCATCAAACCGGCCTGTTACACCACTTCGCCCCCCAAACAGAGATTAGCATGCACTAGTCGCCGGCCATCTACCAGCCTATTCCGTTTCCTTGGGAACGGTGTTCCACCAGCTGCCACTACCCAAATCCCACGAGACCAACTGGTTGTAATCTAATCTTTTTTTCAACGAAATAGTGCACATGCGCTAGCTGTTTCTGTATGTGCGTAGTTGCAGAATGAAAAAGAAAGTAATATACCTGACAGTCTAACATATCATTTGGAGGGAATTTGAAACGCCACAATCAAACATCTATCAGATGCTGTATCCAACATTACCTTGGTGAATATGTCATTTCACCCGGGAGCTGTTCTGTCTCTCTTGATCAGATCTGACCTGTGTGATACATGTGGCCGATTGATTGCTTTCCACCTCACACGCAGCCATACTTGAGCAACCGTCAACCATCTGACATGTAATCGACTGAAGTAAAAAGTTGAGTTCATGTAAACATACCTCTGAGCTGGATATTGTTCCCCTTCTTGATAACTTGACTCTGAGATTAAACGAAAGATTGCGCTGCGCCTCTAAGTGAGAGAGCGTCCGGTCAAAATAGCCTGAAGTGGTATCAAAATGGGGTAACCGATCTGCCCCATGCAGAAAGCATTTGGGAATACCAGGTCAACAATGCTCCCTCTTGTTCTCTGTGCCTCACCCACCACTTGCCACAAACCGAAATTACATTTGCTCACCCAAGCCCTCTTGTAAGGCCGTTTTAACTTCATTCGCAACGGGCATGATCACACCCCCTACTCACTTCACGTTGGATTCAGTCTCCTGGACATGTAAACTGCCGCGTCGGTGTTCATCTTGACTCCGGAACTGCCCTGACTTCGCCTTGCCTCTAAGTCCCAGACTTTGTGATTTGGACCAGTTCTTGAACCAGCAATAGCTTCCACGCACACCATCGTCCAAAACTAACGCAAGCGGACGTGTGGATAGTTGAGGTCCGTGTAGCAAGCCCTTAATTACCGCCCATCTGGGTTTGACCCAGTGAGTGTCTCCTACCTTGCGTGGGTTTAACTTCACTGTTCAAACTATACTTGGAAAGAATAATTACTGAGAAATATGGAAAATGATGAAGAACCTGAGTGGTGTGGTCAGAAGTGTCACACACACTGCCCTTGATGTGCAGGAATTAAACTGCAAATTTTATGGTCATATAGATGATCCAGCATTGCACTTACCATCTTTACCGTTGTACCACTTCCAACAACCTTCACCAATCATAGATAATGTTGCGTTTCACAAGGAAGTGTCGTGCAAAACACCCGGTCCGGACGGACTATCTGCTATAGTCCTCAAGGGATGTGCTAATATCTTAGCACAGACTTTTTCTGAACTGTAGAACATGTGCCTATATCAACACAAGATAGCCGACTGCTGGCGAAGCGCCTGCATTACACCTGTGCCAAAAAAGGAAACTGTAAGTACCAGCCCATTGCTTGTACGTTTGTGGCTTTGAAGACATTTGAATGAATCATACTCCAGCACACATCTTCCATCCACATCGCGGGAGCTGGTGTGTTACTATGCGTAACAGAGCTCAGCCATCGGAGTTTGGCAGAAAAAAGAGATGAACCGCTCAGCACCGATAATTCACGCACCAGGCTCTGATGGCTCGGCCACGTGTTGCGCATGCCAGCCCACCGACTCCCGCGACGTGCGTTGTTTGCGCGCTAGCGGTGTGGATGGAAGAAGAGGAGGGGTGGCCAAGCAATGACTTGATCGAGAGGAATGAAAGCTCACAGTTCGATGTTGGTCTCGGTTGGAGCGTCTCGACTCCCAGGTTGGGGTCCGAAAGACGATGAACACGTTTGGCTGAATACACTTGCTGACACGGCTAGGAGCCCACCTCAATGGCGTTCGTGCTGTGAGTTTCTTTGTCCCACCCCATTCCTCTTAGCCTTCCTCTTCAACCACGACCTCACTACTTAGCCTTATATAATTTTGCATAATAAATTTGTGTTTGCTGCATAGTAGCCGGCAGGTAGTTTACTGGAAGGATGTCCATCCATTGCTGGTAGCTCGGCTGGCATGTAAGTGTTGCAGTTATTTTCTTTTTTGTCTTTTATGTATTGCGGCACAGGAGCCGAGGTGTTTAACACCTCTAACTAACGTGTATAATGATGATGATGATGATGTTTCATGGGTTAAAGCCTTAATCAAAGACGCGGGGTAGGGGACCCTCAAGACAGCCGTCCACCTCGGCCTGGACAACCGGGTACTATCATGACCACTGATGGATTATATCACTGCTTTCGTGCTAAACATTCAGAAGCAGTTAAACCAATCCCAAGTACAAGTCAACAGTGAATGACTGGAGCTAAATTGTACCAAAGCCGGGTCCAATGAAAAGTGCAGTTGAACTGCAAGAGAATACTATCAAGGAAAAGACCAAGCTAATGATAGATTCTACGTTGATCTAACACGGAGGTAATGGTAGGCAAGATCGAGTGCCAATTTGCCAGATACTCTAGTGAGACACTTACTTTCAGTGCTCGCGTCATCAACTAAGATGATCTCATGCAATAGAGGACGCGGAGTTCGCTCGATTACCGAGTTTACTGTCCTCAGGAGAGTGGACCAGGCCTCATTGTGAAAGACGATAATAACGCTCGTTTTCAAAGCAGCAAGACGATCGGATAGCGTAATATTGACGCACCTGGCGAGGAAGCAGTTACGAAAGAAAACCGAAGACCATGCATGAGCAAGTGGAAAGGTTCCTAGTTGGTGAGAAAGTGAAAGCGTAAAGATTGAAATGATGACCAATAGTTGCTCACCTCTCATTGCGGTAATCCGGTAATGCTCTACTTAAGCCAATTAGGTTACTAGCAACCAAATTAAACTGGTGCTTGGTAAAAGAGGCTTGTGACTCGCCTTGGAGTGCAGCTGGGATTTGAACAGGTGCACCCATGTCCCCAAAGCCCCTGGTTGTCTCTTGAAGGAGAAATTGATCGATAAGAAAACCCAACTTACGAGTCGTGAACAATTTTCCAGATAAGGTTCTTGACCACTGGGAAAATGAATTTGATACTAGGCTCCGGAAAATCAATAAAAGAAAGCAGAAACATATGATGTTACTGATGCGCGGGCACTAATTCTATTCGGATGATACATGCACAGATTATGATGTAGGATCAATGACCAAAACGCGTTGCATATAAACGGTGCTCAAAAAGACCACGGAATACATTACGCTGAAATGTCTGACAAATATTGGGTGGTAGAAGTAAGTTTAGAGCTCATACAGACAGATCTGTGGGGCCGTTACCAAAAGATATCACTAACGTCAAGTAAGTGGGCAAGAAAGCAACCGCCGCCACATGAATGCTATAAAGTAGCATCGTCTACAGAGCGAGGAAAAATGCGATTCGCCTGTACAGGAGCAGAGACGAACAGTATCGAACCGGTGTGATATTTTCGCGTAAACACCGAAAAAGTCATAACCATACTAAACATGAGTAATCAAAATCGCCTGCGTGCTAAACAATAATAAACCGCTTTTACTGAACCAGCGCTTGTAATATCCTTGGAGGGTATATAATAAGGGTATAGGGCACCGCAAAACTTTCTGCAATCCCCCCATATGGGAATGAGAGCTGCCACTTCACTACAGGATTTCCAATGGTAAGGAGAGCCAGGGTCTGCTGAATGATGCAGGGGATGTCCGAATCAAAAGATCCAGTCAGCTGAGGTGCTGATCTATTCGCTGAGTTACGTAGCATCGAAGCCTAGCTTTGCTGGTGCAAATTTCCTCTGATGATAAAGTAAAGGAGCAGAGATGATCGGCACCTCCATGAAACACGCAGTTAGAGGTAAGAAACGCCTCAGCTATTGTGCCACAAATTGATGATCGTAAAGAAAACAAAACAAACGGTATTATGACTTGTTTCTAATATGCATGAAGAACGGGACGGGGGCTGTAGTTGGAGACTAAGTAGAAGCGGAGAGACGATGATGTTTAAAATACTAGACCAGCTAAATTAGCACGGTAGCCGTAATAACCCTAGCGAGCGAGTCACACAAGATAAGTGGGAGCATCGGAAAGGATTGTGTGCTGTGCAATGTCACTATCAGATGAGAGATAACGGGGCGAGCATCTCTGTTAGGAGATCAGTGGGAACCAGTGGAGGAGAAACAATATGCTGGTCATTCCTAACTGTCAGTGTGTGCGAAGCAGCACTCGTGCAAGGCCAATCGCGACGAGACTGGAACTTAACATGGTGTGATGATACATGTACCTCCGTGACCAACTGAGCTACGCTTATTGGTGTTAGAGAAAGCACCTTCCAAGGAATAGACCAGTGAACACTACACGGACCACATTCCAACCCTTCTCCAGAAATCAAGAAAATAATCGCACTGGTTGATCAAAAGAATGTTCTCCGACAATCCAATGCAATCAGTCGCAAGTAAAGAACAGTGGAGAACAAAGTACGTTCAGGAAAGTCACCAAGAACAAATAAACATCGGTAATCCGTGCTGTATATATTTTTGTGTCTGTTGGCAATTACACTGGTACCCACAACTTTGTCTCCATAAGCGATTAAACGGAATGGCCAGGTCTAAGTCAAATATGCGATGCCAATGCAACTGCTACATCAATCTCCCAAGATCACCCAATGTACGCCTATCCGCAACAGAAGTTAAGTAGGTCACGTCGTCACATTTCCATGACTGAATTCAATGTTCACATTCAAAGACAACGAGGGCAAAAAGCTGCAATCGTACGCACCTTGAAAAACCGGGGCAGTAACGTATGTCACATGCCTGAAACTAGGATAAATAATCCTCACATTGTTGCTGAATTAACTGCGCCCAGTTTGCACTCTCACTACTGGTAACATACAGTAGGGAACGCCGATGTGACAATCACTTGTCAAGAAGGCGTCGTTCTCAGTCCCAAGACCGAGTCATCGTTCGTTGATTGGATTTTCAAGAGCAGCCGTTTATGTGCAGCTCGTTTCACGACAATGTAGTACTAGACGCTGTTTGTTTGGGATTGCTGTTTATGCTCCCACTAAGTGCAATTGATGCAACCTAATATACCTACTAAAGAACTGCACATGCTAATTCGCAGTGTTATCACTTTAGATACCTTTGTGCTGCAGAGGATATGAACGCTCAAGTTGATCAGCGAGGCAGAAAGTATAGTTTTCATCGTCATAGTCGTCATCATCACTAGCAGTACATCAGCCATTTGAACCGATGCGTCACTGCCGTACAACCACGAGGACCTACGGAACGAAGAATAATGTGAGGGAGAAAAGGGAGACCTACCGTAAAACCTTAATGCCCTAAACGAACACTCGGGGTTAAGACGCCTGCACCTTGTCAAGAAAATACAATCACAAACAGCTGGCTATCGTGCAAAAGTAAGGCGACATCAGCAAGACAGCTTTCTTGCAGTTTCACTTCTCCACGTCATAATTAGCCATTACCCACAGATAACTCAGCACCAAACACATTCCAAACAGACAGTCCGACCAGAGACGACAGCAAACGCGCCACTAGCACTGGTTGTGAGCCAAGTCCTGTTACATCACGAGCCAAGCACAAGGTGGGTTACGTGGATTCCAGCCTGGAAGGTGCGACGGACAAACGGCAGTGACTTCATTTATCGCTACCAAGTTAACTTTTGATCACCTCGAGCCTTGCACCATCCTACATCTGGCAGGCTACACAAGGCCCACGGCGGTAAGCAGTGACCGGGCATATGTAGTACGTGCCAAAGCCAACGCAACTTACGGAAAATTATCGGTTGCTAATCAGCGTTTAATACTCAGGAACACGATAATGCCATCCGATATCAGCAATGCGTCGCAGGCAGCGATCGTCAAAGACTTGAAGGCACTTCAGATCCTCAGACCGAAGGCGTCCAATCTCACTCCCATAGTGTAGGACGGCCCTCAATGCGGCCTTGTAAACAAGGTCTTTCAGATTCACGGAAAACTCTCTGGCGCAACAGATCTCGGAGACTCAAAAAGGAGTTCTAGCTTCGAAATATGTGAACTAATTTCAGTTGTTATGAATCGATGCAGCTGCAAAGTTATGTGAACTGACCAACTAGTCTTCGAGCTGGCCGGGAATGTTGGTGGGTTGCAAAGGCTCGTGAGATGGAGAAAGCCAGCGTTATTGAAAACACCCAAATGCAATTCCAACTCATCCGGAACAAGGGTCCGTGAAAGCTATTAGTTATGGAGAGAAGAGCTGAGAAAGATGGACAGCTCATCTATTCACAGCGTTGTCCATAATCCCGTTGGGCGGAACATTTTGGGGAGCAATTCAGCAGGACGGGTGCGACACTTCCGCTTGGCGAACCACCTGACCCTACGTGGGAACCAGATGTCACACCTCCAACTTTGGAGGAGATTTGACATGAGCTTTCCGCATTGAAACGAAAAAGTCTCGAGGACCCGACTACCTTCCTCCACCGTTGTTGAAAGATGGTGGTGACTCTTTGTCGACTAAACTCCCTACTCCATTTAACCCGGTTTGGAACACTGAAGAAGTGCGACTGGCGACTGTTAACTGTTGTGCCCATCTTCAAGAAGGGTCAGCGTACTTTGTGCGAAAATCATCGAGGCATTAGCCTTATTTCCATTGCCTCAAAACTGCTCACGGGTATCATTCTTCGACGAATTACTGGTCCCCATGTGGACCGAACCACTGAAAGCCAGGCCGGCTTCCACCCTGGCCATGGTTGCATCGACCACATATGTACACTTCGCCAAGTTGTAGAGCAGATATACGCATACAAACAAACGAGTATGATGGTTCTCCTTGAATTGAAAGCCGCCTTTGACCCTTGACTGTGCCAAGTTGTAGCGTTGCCTACTCATGAAGCACGTGCCAGCTCAATTCTTTTCCATTCTGAAGTCCTTCTATCGTGATTTCCGAGGCTGTGTAAGGGTTTACGGGAAACTCTAATCTGAGTTCCCCACGAGAGGTGATGTTCGCCGGGTTTGTCCTATATCTCCTTTCCTCTTCAAACTCGTTATCGAAATAATCATGGATGACTTGGTTCTTTCAGACTATTCTAGAGTAGAATTTCTGCCAGGCGACCGACTGACAAACCTGGAGTATGTGGACGACCTGGTTCACCTTGGGTCTAATGACTTGACTATGGAAACATTACTGCACAGACTTGTGCCTAGCGCTGCATGCTTTGGCGTGCGCTTTTCAGCTTTAAAATGCAAAGTACATCTGCAGGACTGGGAAGAGACACCTACAGTTTTGACGATTACCGAACAGCCACCGGAAGTGGTGGATCGGTTCACTTATCATGGTAGCTGTATCAGCTCAGGTGGTCACATTGCTGAGGAAGTTACTTCACGTATCAGCAAGGTCCTTGCGGCTTTCCAGAGGCTCAACCAGCTATGGAGACGGTAGGAGATTAGTTTCAGTGAAAGATATGATGTATAAGTTTGCGATAAAGCCAGTGTTGCTGTGCGTATCGTTGGCATGGCCAGTTCGCGGGGAAGCCATTAAACGCTCGGACGTGGTTGACCACCGGTGCTTGTGGAGTATTGCTCACGTTTGGTGGGAACATCGAGTGAGCAATACTGTGGTCTGCCAGTTGGTTTTTGGCAAGAACCCTTCTAATGCCGCCTTCGAGTGTATGTTAAATCTTAGTCGCTTGCGTTTGCTAGGCCATATCCTCCGTGTGCCCGTTGATCGACTTCCTCGGCGTGTATTACACGCCGTGGTTGCAGGAAGTTGAACCAAACCTCAAGGTGGCTAGTACATGACATGACAGAGGCTTGAAGAAATTCGCTGAGATACTTGGTAAGACTGGATGGGGTCTCTGGATGATTTACACCAATGGTTGGAAACAGTATCAGACAATAGCAGTCGCGCACTCAGTAGTGCTCTTGCGATCGATTTCTTGCATTTGGTTGTTAATTTTCGCCACATTCTTAATAGTTTGACGCACTTCCGTTTTGCTTCTATTTTTTACATTCTATTTAACTCTAACACCACTATCCTGTCGTTGTTATTTATTGTGATTCCCGCGACGGCACGAAGCTGATGGTCTACAAAACCATGGTGCTGTCCGTTCTTTTATATGACAGCAAAACGTAGACGATGTACCGGCGAGAGGTGAGATACCTAGAGCGTTTTCATCAACAGTGTCTGCGGCGGATTCTGCGTATCGGTTCGTGCGAGAAAGTTGTAGCTACGGCGCTGCGTCGTAGTGGAATGTATGCAGTGGACTGCATACTTTTGCTGAGACACCTGAGGTGGCACGGTCATGTGTGGCGTATGGATTCGACGCGGATACCGAAGCAGCTGTTATACGGTCAGCTGAGTGTGGGAAAGCGGCACGTGGAAAAACCGAAGCTTCGTTACCAAGACAGAATTAAGATTACCCTATAACGTTCCAAAATTGGTTTCAAATGCTGTGAATCGAAGGCCGTTGAACGGAGTGCAAGACGCGATCTGATCACAAAGGTAGTTGCTGAGGAGCAAAAGAAAGCCCTCATGTATGCGGAGAAGCGGCAGTTGCGGAAGCGTCAGGCGCCGATGGGGTGTATTCCATCGATATCGATTGTATGGTGCTGTAGCACATGCGGTCGCTAGTGCCTGTGTTAGGCAGGTCTGGTGCTCTGCGAGCGAAGGCATCCGGGACCAATATTTAAATGAAGACGAGTGCTGCTGGGAATGTAAGCAGAACTAGCGCAGCGTTGGTAGGTACGCCGCATCCGATTTACCAACCGCGTGCTTACGTGCTGAGTTTTATCATTTCTGGTGGTGAGTTTGTTATCGTGTCTTAATGCTTGCTTGTACCTCATTTTAACGTCTATCTGAATAATCTTCTATTAACTTGCATACGACGCTCAAGCTAATTGTTGTTAACTTCGTTAACATTTTCGCGTTTGTGGTATGTTGAAAATATTTTATGACAACTTGAACTTAGCGCGGATTTGTTAATAGCCAATTTATTACGTATGCTGATTTAACAAAGAGTTAAGTCGGAATATGCGTATGCCTTATCCGACTTCTTATATTTGATATCCTCATTCCAAGTGATTGGCTGTTGCTTGATATTCCCGATGTCGTTGCGCTTGAGGTGCATGTTGACAAGGTGCCTACCTGTCTTTTACCCACCACCTCCTCTATACTGGGTCCAGGAGACAGTTGGTCATTGCTGGAGGGGATGGTATATATATATATATATATATATATATATATATATATATATATATATATATATATATATATATATATATATATATATATATATATATATATATATATATATATATATATATATATGAAGAGAACCGAACGAATAATTCTGTATCTCGGCATTTGCTCTACAATAGGCCAACTGCTGTAGCGCTGGAAGGTATTACTTGGCTCGTTTCTGGCTTCGGTAATCCGACCAACCGATTAGCTTGACGTATGTTGAATGATAATACGTTGCCTAATTGGGCGAAATCCATGATAGCCAACAAATGATAAGGCAGAAAAACAATGAAGAAACTCATCGAAAGGCTGAGTTAGGTCGGTGCATGCTGTCTGTCCGAGTAATGCCTTCGAGTTCTGCATACTAACTGATCACGGATTGTGAGAAGCTTGATGTTTGGCGGCTTGAGCAATACGACATGCCAACGTGATCAGTATCTAACAAATTCAGGCTACAGAAGGCGTACTTTTCTCTAAATAAAAACAAAAGTACTATGAGCGCTTAAGAGTAGTCGCGTGTTGTATCGTTCAAATAGAAAAGGATGCATAGATCAACGCATGTTGATGGAGACAGACCTACAGAACAGTATGCTCCTCACAAACAATGATGGATATATGGCCCTTTTAATCCTAACTATACCTTGGGACTAAAGCTGAGAAAAGTCGATTACAGCTAAGATAGGATGTCCGAAATAGCTGAAGGGGTAGGACATTGTTTTAAATCGCAATACTTCCACATAAGATAACGAGTTTCGATCGGGTCAATTGTTAGTGATAAAATCGAGAGACTATTTAGTAGCCGTGCACGAAAACGGTAAGTATGGGAAGGGGGAATGAACAGAAAGTTAGTGGTTAAAGGGTACGAGATTTCTCGCGATACTGTCCTTGTCATGGCTTAAAGTGGGTAAAGGTAAAGCGGCTGATACTCAAGCTTAGTGAGTACCTATTTGCATAGCTGCAAGAACTGCAGGATCACCACCAAACACAAGTAAAGGTAAGTCACTGGTGCGAAGTGAGTACGTGAAGTAAAGTAATTTGAATCGGTAAACCAAGGCGAAAGGGGCATCTGGGTCAGTTTGATCCATGACAGCAACTAACCTGATGGCCCATATCGGTGATAAACAAGTAGTTGTGCCGCAACACAGACGATGCAAATGAGAAGACAAACCTTCAGGTTCAAACGTTTGAGGAATCGCATGATGAGAGTGAACAACCAGCTTGAACAAAAGAAACCTACAACGGGGAGGAGACAGCTATTAGAGACATGAAAACATGCATAAATCAGGTGAGTTGTTGAGCACTTACGTCTTGGGAGTGTTTAGCATTGAATAAACTAATTGTGATTCCCTGGAACTACGTCTCGAAACAAGTTACAGGACCTAAACGTTTCTGAAAAAGGATCGCTGGCATCCTATGATGATTTGTCCATTTTCTTCTAAATCCGGACTAAAAGTTTGTGCGGCCGTACGACAAACGCTATCCTACTTGCAACAAACATCGAGAGTTCGGCCGGTGGCCGTGTGGTTTGCGCGTCTGGTTTGCAACCATAAGGTCACCGGTTCGAATCCGCGTAGGGGCGGGCGCCCTCGCGGTATAGTCAGCCTACGCGCGACTGGCGTTGGTCGCGTGGTAGCGAAGCGCCGTTACGGCGTGCAGCTGGCAATTTATTGCACATACGTAGTTGGCAGTATCCGGTTCCGGATCTTCCTGTCATCGCGGCCTCCATAGGACAGCCACAGGACTACAGGTGGCTTGCGCCACATCACCGACAGCTCCATCCACACACTTCATATCCAGCTTAAACCCCGAGGGATAAGATCGGAAGACATGTGGACGGAAGTCACATCTCATCAACGGAGCCGGCCCACACTCCTTTAACGTACACAGCAACAGCATTCCTGTCTATCTATTACGGGAATCATGCACACCAGATATACACAAGGCGGTGGCTAGGCCGTAGATAGCACCAAATGGATGCATTCACCCGTCGAGCCTCGTCCGGTCATGAGAACCGCGCACCCAGTTTCAGGAAACAAAGAATTGAGTTTTGGAGCCAGCATAATCGAGGTAGCGGTGTTCTGACAGTTGCGTACATTACAACATTCACATCAAGCGCAGCAACACCGATGATATCAAATAACAAACACACAATTTAGAAAAAAATGAGGGAGCGAAACTGACCCGCATTATGCAAAAGTGCAACAGCACTGAGCAAACAAACTAAACAGGAATACTTTTATTCCGGTTAACAAGATTTAAAAGTGGTACAAGCGAACGTATGTGTTCCGTAAATCATCAGTAGGCTTACACACTTAGATAACAATAATAAGTGTCGCCATTCAGTCGATTGATACTATCATCCAGCCGCAAGTAACCTTCCACCACACCCAAGGCAAGCAAACAACGCACGCATGAGCACATTCAAGCTTTACACCACCTGCTTAGCAGTGAGGAGAGTTTGATTACTCGTCTAGATAAAGGCACCCGTATCGTCAGCCTTAACAGAGTAGACTGATTCAAGAACAATGGAAGAAACATTAGCAGACAAGACAAACCTTTTGGAAGATGACTGGTGAGCCAGACAAAGCAAAAAATGTGGAAAATCAACTTTGCGACTGCCTCAAAAAGCTTATGAATGGTGGTTATAGCAGTGAATCGTTCCATGAACAGCTACACCCCGTGGGCACGGTTATTCCAAGGCTCTGCGGTCTTCCCGAAACGCACAAACCGAACAGTCCACTCCGCCCAGTTGTGGATATGAGAAACTCCCTAGCACTCGATTGCTCGTTGGTTGGTTGAGCTACTTGAGCCTCTTCGTAGACGTGTAGCTGTAAACCCTCTAAAGAACAGTTTTGAGTTTGTCGATGCCGTGCGAGATGCTGATGTCACGAACCAAATCATGTGCTCCCTCGACATGACATCGCTGTTCCCAAATGTGTCTCTATTTGAAACGATAGATTTCATCTGCAACTACCTTGACGAGAACCATCACAATATTGGCGTACCAACTCTGGCTCTAAAAGAACTTTTATTCAGGTGCACATTTAATGTTCAGTTTATTCAACGGAGATATATATCGGCAGCGCGATGGGTTCGCCACTTGGACCATTCCTTGCCGACGTCTTCATGGGTATGTTGATACCGTGTAGTTTAAAAGCGATCATCTGCAGCCTTTGTCTATACCACCGTTACGTACCTGATATGTTCATTCTACTTCCCGCCTCTAGAAATCCCGAGGAGCTCACCAACGCATTCATTCAGGCTCAGGAGGCGATAAACTTCATCTACATAGACGACGGTGCTTATAATTTCCTCGACGTAGCCCTGAATAGGTTCAATGATGGCGTAATCCAACGTCGCGTGTAGAGAAAATACACCTGGAGCTGACATTATACGAACTTTCATAGCTTTGCGAAGCTTAAACTCAAGCGAAATCTGCTACGTAGCCTAGTGGGCCGAACTAAACGAATCTGCTCAAAGGATACCCTTCTCGACGAGCTAAAGTGCATGCGTTGGACGCTGAGCGAAAATGGCTATCCAGAAAGTTTCATCAAAGGCAATATGAGTATATATTATATATATTATACACAATCTATGGTACAGATGTTGTGCCATCGGAATCATGGCTGAATAGGAAAACAATATGAATAATAAGAAAAGAGCAACAAGAACTGCTTTTTTGTCTTTTACTACTCACAGTTTTTGACATTTTTTCAGTTTGTTCTTTTTTAGGGGGAGGAAGAAGGGACACCGCAACAAACCGATGCACACGTTCGCCATTGACATCGATCTTACGACATGGCTTCCAAGGTCTTCAACCAGCAAGTATCCGCATCTCTCGGACCCCAATCATGTAGTCGACAACAACCGGCCGAGGCCAACTGTTTCGTCAGCTTTTTCATGCGGTTTCTCCATTTTGTAGGCTGTCCATCAAACCGTCTCTAACAGCCCTGCCCAGCAAGTGCAAACAGCGCACGACAGGGATAACGCTGGACAGGCATGCGCAATACGTGTCCCAACCACCGCAGTTGATGCAGTGAGATGAGCTCCTCGAGCAAGTGGCTTCTTCGTCCCAAGACACGTTGTCTAACTTCCACATTGCTTACGTGGTGTTGCCACACACAGGCAATGGACCGCAGACAGCGGTGCTCGAAGACGGATAGCCAGCGCAAGTCATCTTTACGAATGGGCCAGGTCTCGCATCCGTACAACAGTACAGCACGAACAGTTGCACAATAGACCCGCCCTTTGATGGAGAGACGAATGTCGTGGCGACGCTACAAATGCCTCAGCCTAGAAAAAGCGAGGCCTGCTCTCGAGATGCGCATCGAAATCTCGTCTCCAACAGCCCCGCCAGCAGTGATGCAACTTCCCAAGTAGACAAAGCTCTCCACAACCTCTAGTGTCTCACCAGCAAGCGTAAATGCAGGCAGAGGTACCTGCCAGTCTTGGAAGAGAGCTTCGCATTTGGATGGCGAAAAGTACATACCGTACTTTGATGCTTCAATCGCCAAGCGTTTTAATGCAAGTTGGACGACGTGTGGGTCGTCACTTAGCAAGACGATATCATCAGCATAATCCAAATCAACAACTCGACTATCTGGGAGGAGCTCAATGCCAGTATTCAATGAATCACCTAGAGCGTTCTTCAAGACATTCACAATGGCAAAATTGAATAGGAACGGAGATATAGGGCATGCTTGTCGAACTCCACTGGAGACCACAAAGGTAGGCGAAAGCTTGCCATAAGCCTTAACCGTGCCCGAGGTTAGACTATTTAGAGCGCGCAGTATGTAGACGAACTTCTTGGGGACACCGTTCTTCAGAAGGCAATGCCACAGTACTGTACGATCGACAGAATCGAAGGCTGCACGGATATCCAGGAACACAGCAATCGTTGGCCTCTGATACACATGGCGGAGCTCGAGGATCTGGGGAAGTGTGAAGATTTGATCGATGCAGCCGCGACCAGGGCGAAACCCAGCCTGTTCTTCTTGTTGCAACGATTCGCGTGTTGGGGATAGCATGCGAAGTATGATGGACACCAGCAGCTTGCAAACGACGGGGACTAAACTTATTCCTCTGTAGTTTGAGCAGATTGTGCGCAGGCCCTTTTTGAAGATGGGGACGACTATCGATTCACCCCAAGATGATGGAACTTTGTCTTTCGACCAAATTTTCGAGAACAAAGCGGTGAGTTCTCAAACCAGCGATGCGCCACCATCTTTAAATAGATCCGGAGGAACACCATCAGGGCCGGGGGTTTACAACGCTTCATGTGCCAGAGCTCCCGCTCGATTTCCTGGGAAGAGGGAGGGTCTGTGGGGGTAAACCACTCGGCCCCAGAGCGAGCGCCAGAGGCAGCAGATGGAGCTGGGGGCCAACAAAACTGTGATCCAAAATGTTCGGCCCATCGCTCCAACCGTCGTTGAAGATTGGTGATTAAGGTGCCATCCTCTTCGCATATTGTTTCACTTATACCAGATCGAACACATTTGGTTACTCGAATGAGATGGAAGAGTTTTCTGGTATTACCAGAAAGACTAGCAAACTCCATATCCCTAGCACGTTCACACCACCAAGCTTCGCGGTCCATTTGCAGACTCCTGCGCAACTCTCGAACAAGGTACTGGCGTTCTTCCCTGCGTCATTCATCGAATCATTCGAAGAGAGCCACGTCTTAGTACTTGCAACCACATCAACACCCCTACATCTCAGTGCTAGCTCCCTCCACTTATTTCCTAAGCCACAAGCATTCGTGCACTATACATTTATTGGTGCCCGCCGCAGTCTCTTTCCACCTTCAAATATCTTTTTAAAGTTTCCCTCGGGCGCAGAACCAGAGGGGACAGCTCATTTTTTGGCAATGGTGTAACAAGATTAGCTGGGGCCTCAACATGAACCTGTGAGGGCTTACACGACTGTGCGAGTTGGTATTTAAGTCACCAAGAATTTTTCCGTCTTCCGGCGCATAAGCTTGACCTTATTACCTACAGAACTCTGTTACACCAGACACCAGTTACACCAGCACGTAGTCAGAGTGCTCTCCTATGTCCAGTAAATGGATCAGGTTTAGTTTCCGATAAACTCGCTTCTGTTTACTCTAAGTTGGCAGTACCAGTTGTGCTCAATGGCTTACATACAACCTGAACTCCCGTAAGCAGAGAGTTCGGACCACACTACTCTTCAATATATCATTGGAATCCTTCAAAGGACGTATTCTGAGAAGCATCCCGAAGGTCGAGGTCAGCTGTAGCCGCGTTCCTTGGAGAGGTAAAAGCATGCACTTAGGGAAGGTGAACCCCATGAGCTCCACATAACATAT